TCCAGCGCACCTCTGGGTGGACTTGAACTGCCAACTTGAGGTTAGGAGCCCAGTGCTTAACCCTTTACATTACTCAGGGAATCCTGGCCAGGGCTTCAAGCCAGTTCACTCCGGTTCTAACCCCTGCTGAGAATTTGCATTTCTAACAAGTTCCCAGGCAATGCTAATATTGCAGTTAGGGACCAATTCTGAGAACCACTATCTGAGCAGTGGTTGTCAAAATTCATTATATATGAGAATCACCTGAGGATCTCGTTAAAATGTAGATTCTGATTCAGTTTAGTTGGGGTGGAAATGGAAGTTATCAGTAGGGGTTCAAACCAGAATGAACCAGTTCAAAGCCCTGATTCTGGCCCATAGTTTAAAAAAAAAAAAAAAAAAAAAGGCACCTCACTACCGTGGAGCCAATTCCAACTCATAGCAACCCTACAGTGCAGGGTAGAACTACCCCATGGGCTTTCCAAGGCTGTAATCTTTAAGTAAAGTTGACTGCCACATCTTTCTCCCTCGGAGTAGGTGGTGGGTTCGAACTGCCTTTCGATCAGCAGCCGAGCACTTAACCACTGTGCTAGCAGGGCTCCTTACTAAGCCTAGTGCTAAATAAGCCTAGTGCTTAACCATTTGCATCGCCCAGGGAACTCTGGCACATAGTAGGGGCTCAATAAACATTAGTTATTATTTTACTTAGGTGAATGCTCGATAAGTATTTGTTAATGAAAAAGATTGCAGGCTTATGGCTGAGGAGGTAAACTGAAAGGCAGAGGCCCGCCCCCAGCACACAATAGGTGCTCAGGACGCCTACTGATTAGTGGGGGACGTTTCACATAGTTCTGGGGGGCAAGGGCAGGGCTTTGGCCACCTCTGGCCAGGTGCCAGGCCCTGTTGCTCAGGGCACAGCAAGTAACATCAGCTCTCCAGGGTGATGGTTATTGGCCGGCCTGGGGCTTAACTGACTTCTGATATGGTGGGATCCTCTCCTGCTTTACTCTGACACTCTCCTTGGAGATCCCCGGCCCCAGCTTCCATCAGACCTTGGTCTTTATCGAGCTCCCAGAAATAGCTTAGCTGATCTGGGCAGGAAGTCTCTGATAAACTGGTCTTGTATACTGGTTCAAGGTGTGTGTGTGGAGGGGGAGAAGTCTGCATGGAATCAGGGGGACCTGGAAGGCAGAGAGTACTGGCACAGGTAGCATTCTAGCCTCCTGACTCCGTGTAAGACCAGGGGCAAGTCCTGCCCCTCTCCATGCCTTGGTCTCCCCATCTGTAGTCTGGCTCAGTCCTGGCTCCTCTGCTCTAGCTTCCTCATGGGTCAGGGTGTTTCCACACTCTCCTCCCTACACTAGTTGGCCAGATTTTGGAAAGTAAAAATACAGGATGCCCAGTTCAATCTAAATTTCAGATAAACAACACATTGTTTTTAGTATAGCTATGTTCCAAACGGAACCCTGGTGGTGTGGTGGTTAAGAGCTACGGCTGCTAACTGAAAGGTCGGCAGTTCGAATCCACCAGCCGCTCCTTGGAAACCCTATGGGGCAGTTCTACTCTGTCCTATAGGGTCGCTGTGAGTCAGAATCAACCCGATGGCAACAGGTTTTTTTTTGTTTGTTTGTTTTATGTTCCAAAAAGCGCATGGTTAAGCACTTGGCTGCTAACAAAAGGTCAGCGGTTCAAACCCACCAGCCGCTCACGGGAGAAAGATGAGGCAGTGGGCTTCCGTAAAGATTTACAGCCTTGGAAACCCTCTGGGGCAGGTCAGCTCTGTCCTATATATAGGGTTGCTATGAGTCAGAATTGACTTCCACACCAGTGGGTTTTTTGGTTTATCTAAAATTAAAATTTAACTAGATTTCCTGTATTTTATCTGGCAATTCTGACTAAAGCCCTTCACCACATTGCGGACTAAGGGATCTTTCTTTTTTTATATATAGCTGTATTCATATGTGGTTTACATACCATACAATTCCCCTGTGTTAAGTGCACAATTCAATGAATTTTTTGTACTTTTACAGAGTAGTACAATCATCACCACAACCTAATTTTAGGACATTTCCATCACCCCAAAAGAAACCTTGTGCCTTTTTGATGTCATCCCTAATTCCCACCCCTAACCCGAGGCAACCACTAATCTAGTTTTTGTCTCTAAACATTTGCCTTTTGTTGAAATTTCATCAAATGTCATGTGATTCTGGAATCATAAACCATATGTGTTCTCTCGTCTGGTTTCTTTCACTCAGAATAATATTTTCCAGGCTCGTCCATGTTATAGCATGCGTCAGGACTTCATTTCTTTCTATGGCTGAATGATATTCCGTCGTATGGATGGACCACATTTTGCTTATCCATTCTTCAGTGGATGGACATTTGGGCTGTTTCCACTTTGGGGATATTATGAGTAATGCTGCTACGAACACTTTCATGTACGGATCTTTATGCGGATGTTTGTTTTCATTTATCCTGGCGAGTTACCTAGGAATGGAGCAATGCAGCCCTCGGGGCACAGTGGTCAAGAGCTGGGCTGCTCACCAAAAGGTCAGCAGTTTGAATCCACCAGCTGCTCCTTCGAAACCCTATTGGGCAGGTCTACTCCGTCCTATAGGGTCGCTATGAGTCAGAATTGACTCTACGGCAACGGATTTGGTTTTGGTTCATAGTAAGCAGCCGCCAAGAAATCAAATGATGTATTACATTGGGTCAATGTGCTGCAAAAGACCTCTTTAAAGTGTTAAACAGTGAAGATGTCACTTTGAGGACCAAGGAGTGCCTGACCCAAGCCATGGTGTTTTCAGTTGCCTCATATGCCTGCAACAGCTGGACAATGAATAAGGAAGAATGAAGAATTGATGCCTTTGAATTATGGTGTTGGTGAAGAATATTGACTATACCATGGACTGCCAGAAGAACGAACAAAGCTGTCTTGGAAGAAGTACAACCAGAATGCTTCTTAGAAGCAAGGATGGCAAGACTTCATCTCATGTACTTTGAATATGTTATCAGGAGGGACCAGTCCCTGGAGAAGGGCATCATGTTGGTAAATTAGAGGGCCAGCAAAAAAGAGGAAGACCTTCAATGAGATAGAGTGACACAGTGGCTGCAAAAATGGGCTCAAACATAGCAATGATTGTGAGGACGGCACAGGACTGGGCAGTGTTTTGTTCTATTGTGCATAGGGTCGCTATGAGTGGGAACCGTCTAGACGGCAACTAACAACAGAACAGGTGGCACAAAAGGTTTGCACTCGGCTGCTAACATAATAGTTGGCAGTTCGAACTCACCCCACGATACTACAGAAGAAAGACCTGGCAATCTGCTTCTGTTAAGATTACAGCCAAGAAAATCCTACGGAGCAATTCTACTCTGTAACATGATCTGCCCCATAGGGTTTTCTAGGCTGTAATATTTATAAGAGTAGATTGCCAGGTCTTTCTCCCACAGAGCTCATGGGTGCAAACCTTTGAGTTAGCAGCTGAGCATTTAACCACTGACCCACCAGGGGTCCTTCCCACTAAATAGGCTAGTGCCTATTCATCCTTCAATGCTTCTGAAAGCCTTCCCTGGTCTCCCACGCTAAAGGCAGTCTCCCCCATTACTCCCTTTCCATGACCCAGTTTTTTTTCTTAAGCCCTGTAATTCTTTTACTTTGCATTTGCATAGCTTATTTGCAATTAAATGCTTTATTCGTATGTGCATTTTTAAAAAACTTTCTTTCCTCTGCCAGACTGAATTCCTCAAAGGCACCATTACAATATATACTGCTCCTAGCTGTTCCTATTGTCAGGCACAGGTTTGAGCACCAGGGGAGGGCTCGATTGGGGGCTGTTGGTGAAGTAACTTAATCCTCACAACACTGTAAAATCGGCACTGTTATGAGTCCCATTTCACAGATGGGAAGACTGAGGCACAGAGCGATTAAGTAATTTGGCCATGCAGAGCTCAATACATTTTTCTTGAATGAATTAATATGTATATTGTGTATTTTGCGTTTCAATATGTATATTGAGGAGCCTTGGTGGCGCAGTGGTTAAAGAGATTGGCTGCTAACCAAAAGATCGGCAGTTCGAATCCACCAGCCGCTCCTTGAAAACCCTATGGGGTAGTTCTACTCTGTCCTATAGGGTCGCTATGAGTCGGAATCAATTCGATGGCAATGGGTTGGGTTGTTTTTGGTTTTATGTATATTGAGCACACATAGAATCTCCACAAGAAATTCTTCGTAAAATGAATAAGCATGCTTGACATTTTGTGGGTCTTTAACCTGACACCACCCCCCCGCCCCCCGTATGGCCCACTGCCTCCCCTAAGCCCCGCCCCCTAGTGTTGGCAATGCCTTGTCCGTACTTTGAGTTGAACCTCTCATTTTACATCGCCGACACCTACTTAAGCTCCTCCTCCCTTGGTAGCCAATGCACCCTCGGTACCTTGAGGCGCTTCTCTTGTCGTAGCCAATAGCCTTCATTCCTATGTTAAGCCCCTCCTCTTTAGCAGGAGGCTATCAATCACGCATTCCCTATGTTCATTGGAATTTTTCTTCTGTGCTATCCAATGGTCTGTCCTTCTCTTAAGGCCCCTCCTCTTGTGGCGTTCTATGGCCCGCCCTTACGCCAAGCCCCGCCCCGAAGCAGCCTGCCTTCTCCGTTTCCCTCCTCCCATCTTCCCCTTTCACCTCCCATAACCTCCGCCCTCCTTCTATTAGTCCGCTGGATCACGCCCCTTGACTCTGCCCGTTATCCAATCCCGTTAACTTGCTCTGCTCCAACCCCTCTTGTTATTGGTCCCCGCGCTCCTCCATCCCCGCACGTGGCCCTGAGCGACGGCCTCGCCTGCCTGTGACGGCCAGAAGGCGGGACTTCCGGCGGCGCCGAGTCCAATAAGCATTCGCCGGCCCTCTGCCCCGGCGGCCGCCTCCGCCCCCTCAGCGTCCCGCTCCCGCCCCCGGCTTCGCCTCCCGCTGCCGCCGTTGCTGCCGCCGCCGCCTCCCGCGGCTTGGGCCCCCAGCCGCCAGCATGCCGCACGCCTTCAAGCCCGGGGACTTGGTGTTCGCCAAGATGAAGGGCTACCCGCACTGGCCGGCCCGGGTGAGGCCGCGCGGGAGATGGGCCAGGCGAGGTGGGGGGTGGGGTAGGAGGGGCCCCGGGCCCCCGGGAACTGCGCGCCAGAGGTCTGGGGGGCCCGAGGGTCCCGCGCGCTGGAGTCTGTGGTGGCCTGGGGGTCCCGCGCACTGGAGTGCGGGGGGGCCAGGCCTGAGGGTCCCGCGCTGTGGAGCCCAGGGGGGCCGGACCTGAGGGAGCTACGTGCTGGAGGTCCGGGGGGCCTGGAGCCAAGGGGCACGGAACTGGGGCCTGAGGGGGCAGAGTCAAGGCCGAGTGTCTGCGTGGGGGCAGGGTTCAAGTGTGAGGGAAGTCTGAGGGTCTGAAGGGGCTGGAATTTGAGGAAGGGGATAATAATCTCGGGAGAAGGGTACCCCAGGCTACAGGACCCAAGAGTCAGAGGGGCTGAGGGCCATGATTGAGGCGGAGGATCGAGATGAGGATGCAGGAACGGACAAGGATTGGAGGTCAAGGCTGAGGGGAGCTGGGGGCCATGTCTCAGGGTCTGAGAGAGGCCAGGGATGGAAATGGGGCTGGGGGCTGCTTTCACAAGGTTACTGGGGCTGAGGGGACCAGAGGGTCAAATAAGGCTTGTTGGGGGGACTCTGGGGACCGGCGCCCTGACAGATCCCCCTGCTCTGATGGAGGAGGCTCAATGAGCTGATAGGCACCCAAGTGGGCAACCCAGGACTGCGGGAGGACTTGGGGTTGGGGTGGTTCTCACAGATGCTTGAAACCAAGACCAGTCCTAGGCTATGGGGGCTCAAGCCCAAAAGGAGCACATATGAGGGAAGGGGGCTGGGCCAAAGGGACTTTGGGGTACCTCTTTTGAGGAAGCTAGGGTCCGAGGGAGCCAGATGGTCCGAGGGGTCCAGGTCTGAAGGGGGTCCTGAGTTTGGGGGTCCTTAGTCTGCAGATAAGAGGCAAGCAGCATGGGGGGAGGGGGGCTGGAGATTCTTGTCATCTCCATGCCTTAGGGCCAATGTCGCCCCAGGACTGAGGTTGGTGGTATACGCATGGCAAAACTGGAGGAATTAGGGGGTTCGGGGAGGGTCCCAGCAGCCGGGAGAAGGGTGGAAGGATGAGGCTGAGGGAACAAAACAAGAAAGGGAGTCGGGCTGGGCAGTCCTGTGGGATTCCGGGAGATTTCTGTGTGGCTCACTGCCCTTCGGGTGGAAGTAAGCTAGGGTTTAGGTTCAGAAAGGCCGCCACAGGGTGCCAGGAGGTGGTTGGTGCAGGGGACAACCGCCCAGCAGCTCTGAGAGTTCGGGGCTGTTAGAGCATCAGGGGCGTGTCCTGGGTGGGGCGGGAGCAGCCACAGGGCCAGGCAGGCCGCCTGGGGTGGTGCTCAGGGTGACTGAGTTTGGGGATGCCTCTGTGGGAGAGTGAGGTGTTTGGAGGTGGTGTGCGTGGCCAAGGACTTTGAAAAAGTAGCCCAGGGGAGCCCCGAAAGAGAAGGCAGCTGGGTGCCTGGGGCAGGGCAGACTGAAGCAGCTACCGAGATGGATTAGAGGACCGTGAAGGAATAATTGGGACCGAAAACCCACCCTAACCTGATCTGCTTGCGCTTATTTTCATGGAGGAAACCAGAGTGATAAAACTTTGCAGACACTTCCCTCCTTTCCCGCTTCCCTCCTTTGCCCAGCGCCAGCTTATCCCTCTCCCCCTTTCCCCAGGCGACTAGCTAAGCCCCAAACGTTTCCCAGCACCTGATTGGAAGTGAAGGGGCTGCTAGCCTCCTGTGGAGGGGTGACTGACAGCTGCTGGAGCCCGTGGGCCTAGAGGGAGAGGGTGGGACTTCCTGGATGCTGAGGGCCTGTCTCCTGCAGCCCACCCCCCACCCTCTGCCTTCTTGGAGCTGCCAGCTGCAGCCTGAGCCCCAGAAGCCTCTGGGGGACCACCCGCAGTCGCCTCTTTGTGGGAGGGGGTCCAGTGGGAGGATTCTGGGAGTTCTAGAAGCTGAGCCCGGCCCCACCCCCTGGTCGCTTCAGAGGACCATATTTGGCCTTGCTCAGGTGAAGCACCTGCGGGGGTGGCGGGTCGCTTTCTTCCTGGGGGAGAGAATCCCACCTGGTGGGTGGGGAGGTATGCAGTGCGGCCTGCAGAGGTAGAGCCTTACATGGAAGGTGATGCATCCCCTTGCCTTGAAGGACCCCCTACTCCCAGCATGCTTTTCTCCAAGTCACTTGGCTATTTTCTTGGTGATCTCCCGGGTCAATGGGTGGACCTGCCCCCCCGAGTCACCCCCTGACCGTCCCGAACGTCCCCTCGCTGCAGATCGACGACATCGCCGACGGCGCCGTGAAGCCCCCGCCCAACAAATACCCCATCTTCTTCTTCGGTACACACGAGACGTAAGTGTTCCTGCCTGGGGGCTTGATCTTCCCGCCCGCTGCCTCCGGCGCTGGCCTGGCTCACCTGGGGCCGGCCCTGTGGTTCCTCTCTCCAGAGCCTTCCTGGGACCCAAGGACCTGTTCCCCTACGACAAGTGTAAAGACAAGTACGGGAAACCCAACAAGAGGAAAGGCTTCAATGAGGGGCTGTGGGAGATAGAGAACAATCCGCACGCCAGCTACAGCGCACCGCCGGTGAGCACTCGCCAGGGCAGGCGCGGGCTCGGGTGGGCTTTACCTCTCTGTGTGGGAGAAGGAGAGGCCAGGCTTCCTGAGCCTTGGTGCTGTCAACATTCGACACCGTAGCCTTCCCTGAGGGGGACCGTCCTGTGCACTGTAGGGTGTCCAGCAGCATCCCTGGCCTCCACCCACTCAATGCCGGTAGCACGTGACAGCCATGAATGTCTGGTGTATGATGTGAGCTAGGGATCCAACTCAATTGTTTCCCCAGTGATGAATGCAGGGTTTCTCAACCTCAGCACCCCAAACCCATCCCTGGCCTCTGCCCGCTCGATGACAGTATCACTCCCCCTACCCAGCTGTGACACCCACAAATGTCTCCAGACATGGCCCAGGGTCGCCCCTGGATGAGAACCCCTGCTCTAGGGTTAGCCTGAATGTGTAACAGTGTTGTGATCGCTTTGATAACAACTTATTTTCTAAGAAAAAAGCTTTTTTTTTTTCCCCCTCCAAAACCCCTCCCTCCCTCCCCAATTACTGCCAGATTTGGACTTTGAAAAGGCAGTCGTTTTTAGATATGAGAGTTCTTGGTCAGGTAGGAAGAAGATGCCAAGAATCATAGGGGTGACATCTGGCTGGCCAAGCAGGCTCTTAGGACCCTCAGGGGAAGGAAGGAGTTGAGAAAGGGGAAGTCACATTGATAGAAAGCCAGGGAAGGCCACAGAAGGATGGGGGAGGGTGGCTCATCAGGCATTTTGGGGTGAGCTGTGGTTGGGAGGAAGCCAGCAAGGGTTCTTCGCTCTGCTTTTAACCCTGCTTTTGAGGTTTTTGTGGGAGGTATGGGGAAGAGGGGTAGCCTGGGCTTAGGAGGCATGGGCGGGAAGTTGGCTGGGAGGTGAAAGGAACTGACCACAGGTCGGGAAAGCTAGTGGACATCTGGGATGTTAGGGGAGAAGGCGACATCTGGGACAGGTGGAAAGCGGGCCTTGGAGAGGGCTGTGCTCAGCCTTTGGTTTTTGGGAGCGGGGGAGGACGTGGTTCTGTGGTGCCTGGTCTAGCCTGGGAACTTGGAGTCTTGAGCTGACCTCTCCTTCATCTGCGCTCGAGAGCGTTCACCCATTTATCTGGCCAACGTTTCTATATTGACACCTGTCACCAGGTGCTGTGCTAGGGACCAGGAAGACAAGTGAATCAGACGCAGCCCTCACCTTCCGGGGACTCGGTCACCACATGGCTCTGTGCGCCGAGGGGCTGGGGCCAGCGTTTTTCGCAAGTCTCGGTGGCGTGTTACTTTTCTCTGCCGTGACGTGTGGAAGACAGAGTTCTCTCTGCTCTGATGCAGTTAGTTGGTATGTGACTAGAGTCGTAGCGCTGTCCCGTAGGGATTTTTTTTTTTGAATTTTATTTTTGTGGTTGAGAATATACACAGCAGAACATGCACCAGTTCAACAGTTTCTACATGTACAGTTCAGTGACGCCGATCACCTTCCTCAAGTGGTACACCGTAGGGTTTTCTAGGCTGTAATCTTTACAGGGTAGATGGCCAGGTCTTTCCCCTGTGGAGCCGCTGGGCGGGTTTGAACCACCGGACTTTGTTAGCTGAACGCTTAACCGTGCACCAGCATGGCCCCTTTCTGGTTCCACACTCACTGCCATTCCCTTGCTCCCCCAGACTTTGCGGGTCCACGACTTGGAGAAATAGATCGGAAGGTCTTCGGGTGGTTGAGTTTCCTGAGATCCTTTTCTGGCCCCAGCTCCAGCTCTCTAAGGTTATGTCCTCAGCCTCTTACCTCTTGGTGAATCATCGTACCATTTAATATTTATTGGACTCCCACAGCTTGCTAAGTACCACGTAGATGCCTGCCCGTGAAAAAATGAGACTCGAAGGTAGTGCAACCTTGAAATTAAATAAATCTTGTACAAATTTCCCAAGTCGAGAGTAGTTACAGGTATCAGAGCTTGTTGCTAATCCTTGGTTCCCTAACCTGACCATGCTTCCAAATGGGACATTTGCTTAAAACGCAGATACCTGAGTCACACCACTAGAGATTTTGAGTTAGATGGGAACTTTTGGTTTTTCTTTTCCCAATCATCATTCTAGATGCTTCTGCTGCAGCCAGTCCATGGACAGGCATTTAAGAAGCGCTGCCTTCTGGGTAACTGAGCAGCCTCTGTTTTTCAGCCTTAAAGTTTTTGTTTTATTTTTATGTTTTAAGTAGGAATACAGGATTATTGTGCAAAAATCAAAAGGTACAAAAATGCACTCTGTTCTCCTCTCAAAATAGCCACAGCTGCCAGTGTCTTCTAGATTCTTCCACAATATGTTGGTCATATGAAAGCATAGGTCTTTCTTAAAAAAAAAAAAATTTTTTTGTTTTATTGTGGTAAAATACATAGAAAGAAACATTTACCAGTTCAGCATTTTTTATGTGTACAATTCAGTGATGTTGATTATGTTCATCATGCTGTGCAGCTGTCACCATTATCTGTCTCCAAGAGTTTCCATCACCCTTAACAGAAGCTCAGTGCCCCCTGAGCAATGACTCCCCTTTCCCCCTCCCTCCTGCCCCTGGTAACCACTAATAAACTTTGGTTTCTACTTTTGCCTACAGTAGCTATTTCATGGAAGTAGGATCATATAATATTTGTCCTTTTGTGACTGACTTATTTCACTTAGCATGATTTTTTCAAGGCTCACCCATGCCGTAGCACATATCAGGAGTTCATTTCTCCTTATGGTTGAATAATTTCACGTTGTATGGATGGAGTACATTTCGTTTATCCATTCATCTTTTGATGGACATTTAGGTTGTTTCTACCTTTTGGCTGTTTTGCATTGATGTACAGGTTTCTGGTGCACAGTGGCGTATATATATACCTTCCATTGCCATCCAGTCAACCCTGACTCATAGCGACCCTATAGGACGGAGTAGAACTGCCCCATAGGGTTTCCAAGGAGCAGCTGGTGGATTTAAACTGCTGACCTTTTGATTAGCAGCCTGAGCTCTTAACCACTGTGCTACCAGGGCTCCATACATACCTAGAGTTGGAATTACTGGATCTTATGGTTGTTCTATGTTCAACTTTTGAAGGAGTTGTCAAACTGTTTTCCACAGTGGCTGTACCAAAACCAGCAGTGGGTGAAGGTTCTAGTTTCTCCACATCCTTGCCAACACTTGTTGTTTTTTGTTTTTCTGATCCTTGCCCTCTTAGTGAGGGTGAAATGCTGTTTTACTGGGGTCTGGGTTTGCATCTTCCAAATGACTAATGACGTTGAGCATCTTCTCACATGCTTGTTGGCCGTGTGTAAGTTTTCTTGGGTGAATACTTACCCTTTTTTAAGCCTGGAATTCTGTACTTGGCTTTATTCACCCAATAGTATGTCTTGGTGCCTGGTCCGTGGGAACACACACACAGCGACCTCCTTCTTTCTGATGGCCTTCGCTGAAATAGTGTTTCTCAGAGGGGTACTGATTTGCATTCTCATCCACAGCGTGTGGGAAGGCCTGTTTCCCTAGTCCCCTTCCTAGTCAGCAAGTGAAAATGGTCCCTGGATGTGGTTTTAGTGATGTTGTTCTTTGTTCTTGCAATAATCCTGAGAGTGGGCTGGGCAGATGATGGCGCTTTCCCCGTCTTACAGGTGAGCAGACTGAGGCCCACAGAGCTTGCTTGATTGCCCAGAGGGACCCAGCTAGAATGAGACCTTTTAGATATAGATCAGGATCGTACCCCCTCGGCACTGTGTACATTCAGGGCTGGATCTTTCTCCGGGGTGGGGACTGCCATCCTGTGCATTGTAGGGTGTTGAGCAGCATCCCTGGCCTCCACCCACTCAATGCCAGTAACACTCCCTCCCACAGTCATGACAACCACAAATGTCCCTAGACATTGCCGAGTGTCCGCTGGGGGTAGAATCACCCCAGGTTTGAACCCTTGGGTTACGGGCTTCCACTCACTACAGCCATGTCCCTTGTTGGACGAAGACATAAAGGAGCTCATCCAAGGTTCTCCAGCTTGTTCGCAACAAGCTGGGCTGGGGCTGAAACGCTGGCCTTCCCGCTCCCAGCCAGCGTTCTTCATGTGAGCCGTGTGCTATGGGGTTGAAGGTCAGAGTGGCGAGCAGTGAGGCTGTCACCAAGTGGTAGCTGTTACTGACTTCTACAGCTGGCCTGTACAAGGCAGGGGGCCTGGGGAATAATCTCTAGATGAGAGACATCTGGGGTCAAGAGCCCTGCTTTGTGGGCAAGGGACTCTGGGTTCAAATTCTGGCTCCTCCACTCCACTTGCTAGCTCTGTACCTTGGGGCTTAACGTCCTGTCTCTGAGCCTCAGTTTGCCCCTCTGAGAACAGGACAATGGCCCCCCCCCACCCCGGGAGAATCGGTGAGAAGATGCACATGAAGCCTCTTGCGTGTGCTGCGTTGCCTGTGCTCGGTTGCCCATGGCGGCCGAGGTGGGGAATGAGGAGGCAAGGCTGATTTCTGTCTTCCTCTCCCACCTTAAGGCCCCTGGGTAGTGCAAACAGTTTGTGCTCAACTGCTAACCTAAAGGTTGGTGGTTCAAACCCACCCAGTGGTGCTGCGGAAGAAGGCCTGGAAATTTGCTCCTGTTAAGGTTATAGCCAAGATATACAACAATGACAAAAAAAAAGAGTAGCTGCTAAGGCTGCTTATGTACAAACACCTCATGGGATTTGGTTCCCTGGTTTGGTGGTTTAAGGTCATGGTTCATGGGACATCGCACTTAACTGGCCTTTAACTTGTTTAGTGCTTCTCTTCTACCTCCTAGTTCATTGTGTGGTGCCTGGGGTTTTAAAAGCTTGCAGGTGGCCATCCAAGGCACAGCAATTCATCTCTATTTGCCTGGAGCAACAGAGGAAGAAGGAGAGTCAGGAATAGGAGGAGGAAATGGAATGTGTGGCTAACTGCCTCCATGAACAACTGCCTCCTTTGCCATGAGACCAGAACTGGGTGGTGCCCGGCTACCATTACTGAACAGTTTGATCAAAGAGTCTATAAAAGAATCCTGATCAAAAGCAGGAAAATGCAGAGCAGAATTTCAGATTCTCACGGACTCTAGACTTTCTGAAGCCATGGAGGGTGGATGAACCCCTGAAACTATTACCCTGAGATAATCTTTAAATCTTAAACCAAATATCCCCTGAAGTCTTCTTAAAACCAAACAATAGTTTAACTTAACTAGTTAAAAATGCCTGCCCTGAGCGTTGTGTTCTTTTGACAACTATCTATATGGGATCAAACTGACAGCAGCAACTTGAAAGATTAGATAGGAAGCTTAGGGGGCAGTGAGTCTATGTTAATGGGGGAGGAACAACTCAGAAAAGGAGGGTGAGAATGGTTACACAACTTGAAGAGTGTGATCAGTGTCACTGAATTGTACATGGAGAAACTGTTGAATTGGTGTTTGTTCTGCTGTATCTATTCTCAGCAACAACAAAATAAGTAAATTTGAAAAAGAAAAAAAGATTATAGCCAAGAAAACTATATGGCAGTTCTACTCTATGACACATGGGGTCGCTGTGAGTTGGAATCGACTCAGGGGCAGCCAACAGCAACTTTCCCACCTTCTCCGCCCTCTGGCTCCGCCAGGTCACTGAGGAGCAAACCGCCTGTCTCACTGACCAGTCGGGGCCTGGGATGCTTCAGAGTTGGCTGGCTCGAGACCTTACGTTTCCTGGTTCTCCCCTGTGCCTCCCGCGCTTACGTTGTCTGAACCTCTTGGTGTGAATCACATTCCCTGAACCCTCCGGTGGATGGCTGTTAGAGCCCAGCGGGCTGACCCCAGAGGACCCAGAGTTCTGGTCCTGGCTTTCCCCGTTAGCACCATGCAGGGCAGGCCACGTCCCTTCCTGGAGACTGAGTTTGTTCATTTGTGGAGCAAGGACATTCTTCCTCATCGCGCCACAGGGCTGTCAGGGCACATGTCGGATTGCACGGCTTTGCACGGGCTTTGTAATAAGCAGTAGCCATATGTGGAGTCCCTTGGTGGTGCAAATGGTGAACACGCTCATCTGCTCACTATAAGGTTGGTTCGAGTCCTTTCAGAGGCACCTTGGAAGAAAGGCCTGGTGATCTACTTCTGAAAAACCAGCCATTGAAAACTGTGGAGCACAGTTCTGATCTGATACACGGGGCTGCCATGAGTCAGGGTCAGCCCGACGGCATCTGGTTAGTGGCTGCGTGTGGTGGCCCACACTAGGAGGCTGAGGCCAACCTAGTTTTGTGTCCCAACTCTGTCACTCACCAGGTGTGTGATCTTGAGCTGTTTTTGACCTCTCTGCACCTGTTTCCTTGACTCTGCAGTGAGGAGGAGAATTCCCACCTGGTGCAGTGGTAGAGTTCTTGCCTCCCATGCGGGAGGCCCAGGTTGAGTTCCTGGCTAGTGCACTTCAAGCACAGCCACGACCCGTCCGTCAGTGGAGGCTTGTATGTTGCTAGGATGCTGAACAGGTTTCAGCAGAGTTTCCAGAGTAAAACGGACTAGGAAGAAAGGCCTGGTGATATATTTCCAAAAATCAGCCTCTGAAAACCCTGTGGATCACGACAGTCCAATCTGCAGTCGATCATGGAAATGGCCCAGGACCGGGCAGCATTGTTCCATTGTCCATGGGGTTGCCACGTGTCGGGGGCCAACTCGACGGCAGCTAACAGCAAGTAGAGGTAGGCTCGGTGTCTGGTAGTTCACGCTCGGGTAACATTAGTTCTTAGTGCTATAATGTTGTTAGGTGCCCTCTGTCAGTGTGTGGTACTGTGGTGGCCTGCGTGTTGCTGTGATGCTGGAAGTTATGCCACCAGTATTTCAAATACCAGCAGAGTCACCCATGGTGGACAGGTTTCAGCAGACCTTCCAGACTAAGATGGACTAGAAAGAAGGACCTGGTGGTCTACTTCTGAAAACATAGCCAGTGAGAACCTCACAGATGGCGGCAGAACATTGTCTGAAGTATTATCATACTGACCCTGATCCTCGTGGTCCAAGATCCTCGCACCAGCCGCTCAGTCTCTTTCCCTCTGAGCTGCCATTTCCCCCACGAGAAACAGGATAATGTCTTCCTTCTCCACCAGCCAGGGATGCTCCAGGGAAGTAAGCCCGAGAGCCCTCTGAGCGCTTGGAAGAAAGGCATGATGGAGGTCGACTGTGAAAGCGAGCGTCTTCTCCCTTGGCGTTTTCATTCTGGGGCTTACCTACTTCACCGTTAGCCTTTTTGGTCTCGTCAGAGATTACACAGGCAGGGCCCTGTCACTGTGCCCAAGGCTCTTGCTCACAGGGCCACTGGGGAGACAAAATGCGTTAGGTGCGGAGCCACTAGCTCCTACAACACCTGGCTCTCATTTTTCTTGTCACTCGGTGGGCATTGTGAGCAAGCCTGCGTCTGTGCACAAAGGTCAGGGTGGCTTAGCCTGGCGGTGGGGGAAGAGTAACTCGTTGCCATCGAGCCAATTCCAACTCATAGCGACCCTATGGGATACAGTAGAACTGCCCCATAGGGTTTCTAGGGAGTGGCTAGTGGATTCGAATTACCAACTCTTTGGTTAGCAGTCGAGCTCTTATTCACTGGGCTACCAGGACTCCAGGGGAAGGATAGGGGGCTTTATAACAGAGTGACCGTGGAGGGGACGGGGCATTGAGGGAGGGCCGAGGTCCTTCCCACTCCCCCCCTCTACCCTGCTCTCCCTCCCCAGCCCCTATCTGACACCCAGCTCACTCGTCCCGCCTTCCCGTTCTGTGTTCTCTTGTGTGTGTCCACTTGGACGAGCCCCCGAGGCTGCACCTTCTGCGTCTGTCAGGCCTTGAGACAGGCCTCCTCCCCCTCTGGCTGCGCAGCTGTGAGACCTCAGCCCTGACCTTGGCCTCTCTGCTTCCTCGCCTCAGCTCACGTCTCGAGTCCTGTTAGGTGGGCTTTGGAAACACGTCTCCACGTGTCTTCATACCATCTTTGTCCTCTTGGCTTCTTTCTTGGCCTTGCTCAGTCCCTTCTGCCCCTACTAGAATCACACCAAGGTGCCTTCTGTTGGTAACGTTCATTTTTTTTTTTACGTAAAAGTCACGTAACAAAATTTAGCATTTTAGCCATTTTAGAGCGTATACTTCAGCAGCTTTTAGTACATTCACAGTGTTGTGTGACCATCACCACCATCTAGTTCCAGAACATTCTTATTACCCCAGAAAGAAACCTTGTACCCCTTACTCATCACCCCTTGTCCCCCCGTTTCCTCAGCCCCCAGTTATAAGCACCCACTAATCCGCTTTCTGCCTCCATGGACATGCCTGGCCATTTCGCATCAGTGGAATCATACTGTATGGCCTTTTGTGTTGAACTGCTTTGACCGAGCGGGATATTTTCAGGGTTCATCCATGTTGTAGCATGTATCAGGACTTTTTATTTCTTTTTATGGCTGAATAATGGTGGTGTAAACAGTTAACATGCTCGGTTGCTGACCGAAAGGCTGGCGGTTTGAGTCTACCCCAAGGCACCTTGGAAGAAAAGCCTGGCAATCTACTTTTGAAAAATCAACCATTGAAAACCCTATGGAGCTTAGCTCTACTCTGACACACGGGGATCACCATCACTTGACTTGACGGCAGCATTCATCTGTCCTTGGACTTGAGTTTTTAAAATCTCTGTCTCTCTTTCTCTCAATATCAGTTATTTAGGAAACAGCTTGTTCAGATTTTATGTCAGATGTGGCCGTGCTGGGTGCAGAGCAGTACCTCCATGCTTGGGGAGCTATTATGGCACCCCCTTCTCACGCTGTGTGTGACCATGCCGGGCACGTGTGGAAACTGAGGCACAGGGAGGTTTAAGTCACTTGCCCAAGGTACAAGCCCGATCGTGGCAAAGCTTGACCTGCCATCCTGCGGCCTGACCCCAGCACCACCCCCCATGCATTGCCATCTTGCTCTCAGGCTTTTGTTTCCCCCGTTTGTAAAGCCTGTGGGTGCTGTTCTCTGGGTCGCTATCTGGACCGCGCGTTGACGTGCAGTCTCCGCTCCTCAGCCCGTGAGCTCCTCAGACAGCGAGGCCCCTGACGCCGACCCCGTGGGTGGGAGTGACGCTGACGAGGACGCCGAGGCCCGGGGGGCCATGGCCATCACTGCCGTGACCACTGCAGCCGCCAGCGAGAGGATGGAGAGTGACTCGGACTCAGACAAGAGCAGTGACAACAGCGGCCTGAAACGGAAGGCCTCGGCATTGAAGGTAGGCAAAGGGTTTGTGTGGGCCAGCGGGGTGCCCAGTGAGGCCTGGTCCTGCTTTCTCATACCCTAAAGTCTCATCCGGCAGCCTGCCTCTCCCTTGCCTCCCTCTTTTTTTTTTTAACGTGCATTTAAAAAAATTAAGATATAATTCACATACCATAAAACTCACCCTTTCACAAAAGTGTGCAGTCTTTTTGAGTGTGCAAAAACCTGTCACTACGGTCTAGTTCCAGAACATTGTCACCACCCTGTGCCCGTCAGCAGCCACTCCCCATTCCCTGCTGCCTCCAAGCCCTAGGCAACCACTAATCCACTCTCTGTCTCCACACATTTGACCGTTCTGGACATCTCATATAAATGGGATCATACAATATGTGGTCCTTTGTGACCGGCTTTTTTACTGAGTGTAATGTTTTCAAGGTTCATCCACATGTAATATGTATTGATGCTTCATTCATTCATCTTTCTAGCTGAATAATATTCCATCGTACGGATAGACCACAGTTTACCCATTTTACAGTTGACAGGCGCTTGGCTTGTTTCCGTCCTTTTGGCTGTTATGAGTGATGCTGCTGTGAACGTTCGTGTACAGGTTTTCCCGTGTACATGTGTTCTCAGCTCTGTTGAGGATGTTCTTTCCTCTGCCTTTGACAGTTTCTAAATATGTGGGTGCTAAGGAAAGGACCAGGTCAGATCAGCGAATTCTTTTAGTAGAGGAAGCCATTCTTTTTATTATTTTTTTAAAATGACTTTTGCTCTCGTTTCCACTTGTAATGATAAGCCATGTTCGTGATTGGTAAGTTGGAAGATGCAAAAATACAAAGAAGCTAGTGAAAAATACCCATGCTATGGGGAGGGGGCGGTTCTAAACCAAGGACTGTTAACATGCTCGTGTGTATTTTTGTGGTCTTGGTGTGCCCACGCAGGGGTTACGTACGTGTGTATATAACTGATGGAAATGGCAATATTGACGTGCAATATGTGTGCCTTTTTTTCCCCCCACTTAATATTATGTCATGAATGTTTCTGAGTGGTGCAAATGGTTAAGCACTTGGCTACTAACCAAAAGGTTGGCTGTTTGAGTCCACCCAGAGGCACCACAGAGGAAAGGCCTGGAGGTCCACTTTTGAAAACTCAGCCATTGAAAACCCTGTGGAGCACAGTCCAACTCTGACACACATGGGGTTGCCATGAGTGGGAGAGGACTCGATGGCAACCGGTTGTTGTTAGCACATTCACTGTGTTGTGCGGCCGCTACCTCCGTCTCTCTGCTAGTTCCAGAGAGTGTGTGTAGGGGGTGGGGTGGGGGGGAACGATCCCTGGTTTTTCTCAGACTCTCCACGGTGTCCCTGGCCCCAGGAAGGTTCAGGGACCCCAGCTCTAGCCCGGGCTGTGAGCGGCCAGTGGGAGGCTGCCCACCATGGTGCAAGAAGGCTGTGCCAGGAACGCAGGCTTCCCACCCACTGACATGTCCAGGCCACCCCCTTTCAGATGTCAGTGTCGAAACGAGCCCGGAAGGCCTCCAGCGACCTGGACCAAGCCAGCATGTCCCCCTCCGAAGAGGAGAACTCAGAAAGCTCGTCCGAGTCTGAGAAGACCAGTGACCAGGTGAGCAGGTGGGCACATCCTTGGGGGACAGGGCCTGGCGAGAGCCCAGTGGCGCCAGCCTGCGCGTCCCACATCGTGCTTCCATCCCTTCACCCAGGACTTCACCCCCGAGAAGAAGGCTGTGGCCCGGGCCCCACGGCGTGGCCCTGTTGGAGGAAGGAAGAAAAAGGTAGGGGCTGTTTTGTGTTTTCCATGCCCACCTCTGGGGAACCCCTGGAGGCTTCTCATCAGTCCCTGGTCACCATCCATGGGTGTTGAGCCAGGCTGTTCTGGGAGTGGGTGGGGCCTGGGCCACAGGTGGACCTACAGGGTGAACCCAGTGTCCAGCATTTCTGAGCACTTGGATCTGTCAGGCACCTCAGTGAGAGTGGGGCAGACGCAGCTCCCGCCGCCCCACGAGGAGCTTTCTGTCTGCTGTGGGAAACAGTGTTCCAGAGTGCTGTCATCAGGAAGGAGTGGTGCCCTCACAAGGGCCGTGTGTGTAAAAGAGGATGTGTGTGCACGTGTGTGTGTGTGTGCGCGCGCGCGCGCGCCATGGTGACGGTGGAGTTTGAGGGCTAAAGGCAGCAGAGAAGATCAGCTTGTCTAGTGGGGCCTCTATGCAGGATATTAGGACAACGGAGTTGATTGCGAGAGCGCATCACGGGGTAGGGCGCAGTTGGCAGACAGACATAGAAGGCAGTGTTATTTTCGTAAAAACATGGTATTATAATTGCTGTCAGTAAGTTGTACATCTGTACAAAGTTAAATTGGCAAAAATTGTGTGATAGATATATTACAACAACAACAACAAAAGAGTAGCTGCTGAGGTGCTTATGTACAACCAAGCACCTCATGGGATTTGGTTCCCTGGTTTGGAGGTTTAGGGTCATGGTTTCTTGGGACATCCCAGTTAATTGGCCTAGTAACGTGTTTAGTGCTTCTGTTCTACCTCCTAGTTCATTGCAAAGTACCTGGGGTCTTAAAAGCTTGCAAGCGGCCATCCAAGGCACAACAGTTGGTCTCTATTCGCCTGGAGCAACAGAGGAAGAAAGAGAGTCAGGAATAGGAGGAGGAAATGGAATGTATGGCTAGCTGCCTCCATGAACAACTGCTTTCTTTGCCATGAGATCGGAAGAACTGGATGGTGCCCGGCTACCATTACCGAACAGTTTGATCAAAGATTCTATAAAAGATCCTGATCAAAAAGGGGGAAGTGCAGAACAGAATTTCAAATTCTTACGGACTCTAGACTTTCTGGAGCCATTGAGGCTAGCTGAATCCCTGAAACCGTCGCCTGAGATAATGTTTAAACCTTAAACCAAAAATATCTCCTGAAGTCATCTTAAGACTAGACAATAATTTAGCTTAACTAGTAAAGAATGTCTGCCTTGAGCATTACACTCTTAGGAACTATCTCTGTGGGATTAAATTGACAACAGCAACTCGGCAGATTAGGTAGGAAGCTTAGGGGGCAGTGAGTTTATGTTAATGGGGGAGGAACAACTCAGAAAAGAAGGGTGAGAACGGTTGCACAACTTGAATGTAATTTCTACATGTCACTGAATTGTAAGTGTAGAAACGGTAGAATTGGTGTATGTTTTGCTATGTGTATTCTCAACAACAAAATAAATAAAACTTAGGAAAAAAAAATAGAGGTGAAAACTGGCTCTAGCAAGATGCCCCACTTCACAGACGAGGGAAGGGCCCGGGCACGTTAAGCACCTTGATCTTGATCAGGCAGCTGCACGAAATACACTGCACGTGATTTGGCCAGAACACAGAGGATCCTAGGACATTGGAGTGGGTTGGGTGGGAGGGGGCATTGCTCAGCCTTGAAGAGATGCTGGATGGGGGCCCATCTGGACAGGGGCAGGGAGCAGCGGTGGTCAGTTCATCTGCTTCTCTGACGCCCCAGCCCATCCCCTCACGACTTCTCCCCAGAAGGTGGCCTCAGCCTCTGACTCCGACTCCAAAGCCGACTCAGATGGGGCCAAGGAGGAGCCTGTGGCGGTGGCCAGGTCCGCATCCTCCTCCTCCTCCTCTTCCTCCTCCGACTCGGACATGTCTGTGAAGAAACCTCCGCGGGGCAGGAAGCCAGGTAGGGGCTCCCAGTGTGGCCCCCCGGTTACCCTGGAACTGTCAGCCCTGGGGAAGACGGTGGTATCCCCTCCTTGTCTCTCCATAGCCGAGAAGCCGCCCCCGAAGCCCCGCGGCCGGAAGCCGAAGCCCGAGCGGCCCCCGTCCAGCTCAAGCAGTGGCAGGTGGGTGTTGGCGCCCTGGGGCCCCTCCTGGCCGTGGGCGCCGGGCGGCCCTCCCCTCACCCTCCGCCGCTGCCCGCAGCGACAGCGACGAGGTGGACCGCATCAGCGAGTGGAAGCGCCGCGACGAGGAGCGCCGCCGTGAGCTGGAGGAGAAGCGGCGGAGGGAGCAGCAGGAGGAGCTGCGGCGGCTGCGTGAGCAGGAGAAGGAGGAGAAGGAGCGGCGGCGGGAGCGGGCTGAGCGGGAGGACGCCCCCCGCAGCGGAGCCAGCGACAGCAGCGGGGATGAGCTCCGGGACGAGGACGACGGGCCCGTCAAGAAGCGCGGCCGTGGGCGGGGCCGAGCGCGCGGTCCCCCGTCCTCCTCTGACTCGGAGCCCGAGGCTGGACTGGACAGGGAGGTGCGTGCCGCGCCTTGGTGGGAGGTCCCGGGGGCCTGGGAGGCAGGTGACAGCCACAAGGCCTCTCCCTGGTGCCCACCCCGTTGTCACCTCATTCAGTAAGCCCATTCCTTTCTTCAACACCTGGGAGGCCCCAGGTGGCACCGTTACATGCTCGGCTACTAGCCAAGAGGTTGGTGGTTACAACCCACCCAGAGGCACCTCAGAAAAAAGGCCTGGAGATCTGCTTCTGAAAGGTCACAGCCTTGAATACCCTGTGGAGCAGTTCTACTCTGCACACACAGGGTTGCCAGGGGTCGGAATCGACTTGACGGCAACTGGTTTGATGTTTCTGTTTTTTATTGAGCACCTACTGTGTACTAGACACCATTCTCGGTGCCAGGTGTACAGCAGGGCAGCTGTGAACGGAACTCAGAAGCCTGAGAGGCTGGCCTTCAAGTCAGGGAGACAGGCGTGTAAGCTGTGGTGTGTGAGAGCATCAGCGCTAAGGAGGAGAATAGAGCAAGGGGACACGGAGGGCCGGAGTGGGAGGGTTCTGTTCACATGGGGTAGACCCTGAAGGCCTGGCTCAACAAGGTGACTTTAGAGTAAGGAACTGAATGAAGTGAGGGGTGATCTGTGAAGACATCTGGGGAAAGAGCCTTCCAGGCAGAGGGAACAGCCCATGCAAAGGCCCTGAGGCAGGACCGGGCCTGGTGCACTGGAGGAACAGTGAGGAGGCTGGAGCCGGGGGAGAGAGGAGGAGGGGAGGGCAGGGAGGGGACAGGGCAGGGCGTGCAGGGCCCTGTGGGCCAGGGGCAGGACTTGGGCTTTTACCTGAGGGAGGTGGAGCCCTGAGGGTTGTGAACAGAGGAGGGACAGGCCTGACTCAGGTGTTCACGGGTGCCCGAGGCTCTGTGGGTGCCGCAGGGTCTGTTGCATTCCCCACCCTCAGGGCACTTGCAGTCTGGCCTGAATCCAGAGAGTCTGACCTTCAGGCCTGTGACTTTCTAGCCTGCGCTCAGTGCTGCCATGCAGTGGCGATCCCTGAGCCAGGGCCTCCACTTCTGGGTGAGCCAGCAGAGCGCCCCCTCCTCTCCCTGTGGTAGCCCCCAGCCCTGGGAAGCATGGGGGCCAAGGCTTTGAGCTCCATCTGCTGGGCGGGGCCTGCACTCCAGACCCTGAGGTGCTTCCAGGGAAGCTCCTGGCTGGGCATGGGCCCGGGGGTCTTCGTTGCCGTCTTGCCCTGCTCTGCGCTTGCCCCGGCAGTTCCAGGGAGTTAGAAGGTGGTGGCAGGGAGTGTCGAAAACACTGTCTCTGAGCAGGACTGTCTCTAGAGAGGGGTCTCTTCCCAGGCCCCCAGCCCCGCCTCTCCTCTGCTGTTGCAGGCGAAGAAATCTGCTAAGAAGTTGCAGCCGCAGACCCTCGAGCCCGTGAGGAAACCCAGCCAGAAGGAGAAGAGAGGGCGTCTGGAGGAGAAGTCCCGAGCCAAGTTAGCCCCAGCTTTGCCCCTCCTCCTCTGGCTCCCCAGGGCCCTGCCTGTCCCCAAGATTCCCAGCCTCCCTGGGGCCCCGCACCCCTCACGGATGGACCAGCTCTTGAATTCAGTCCTGGAGCCAGATCTGTTGGAAGCTTCTGGCTCCTCGGGCGCATCAGGTTGTGGAGGAATCCCTGCTCCAGGACTGAGGCCCTTCCCTAGAGCAGCAGGCCTCACCCAGGGCGAGATTGCCCCCAGTGAGCAATGTCTGCGGACATTCGTGATTGTCATGACTGGGGGGTGCCACTGGCCTCGAGTGGGTGGAGGCCCGGGATGCTGTTCAACATCCGACCGTTCGCAGGACGGCCCCGCCCCAGAGAAGGATCCAGCCCCCACATCAGCAGTGCTGAGGGGAGAGACCCTGCCCTAGACCAGGGTTCTCAGACTTTTCTAAGTTGGAGGCCCAGGAGGTAGGGGGACAGTGCCCATGTCCCAGCCCCCTTTCCTATGGAGTCCCAGTCACTGGCAGATGTGCATGCCCCGCCAGAGCGTGGCAGGGTGGCACCAAGCCGGACGGCGGAGCAGAGTGTGGAGCTGGAGCCCTCAGGTGCACCAGCCGTGCCTGATGAGCTGTCATGCTCATAAATGTTCAATCACTTTAATAAAGAAACCTATGGGTTTCGCATAACTAGTCCTCAGCCACGTGGAAAGAGAGCTCTGCATCTCCCCTGGTTCACTCGTGAGACCCAGAGAAAGGAGGTGCAGGCCTCCCCTGGGGGCACTGCCCTTGACCTAGGCCAGGGCCTCCTGAAGGTGATGTGCCTCCCTCCCACAGGCCCCTGGTCCCTCGGTTGGGGGGTGGCACCGCTGGGCTGTGTTGGTTGGGGCCTAAGGGGAGGTGCTCTTTGCAGGCCCCCGAAGGTAGAGCGAACCCGGAAGAGGTCCGAGGTGTTAACGCCCGACAGGAAGGTTGAGAAGAAGAAAGGTGAGGGGGCCGCGCAGGGATCAGTCGGAGAGAGAGGGGTGAGGCCAGGGTTCAGATTGCTGATTCTAGAGTGGACGTGGGCTTGGCACTGGCCAGGTCCC